TTGTGTTCTTTTGCTGACCATGACTGTTCCTTCCCTGTCTGATAACCTTGCCCTTGATCTTAACTGTTTCTCTTTATGGTCAAATTTGTTCTAATGCAGCCCAGACTCCTACAGATGGCAAAAAATTTAAAGGGCTTGTTGATACCAGAGCTGATGTCTCTATCATCAAAAGCAGTGAATGGCCCAGGGGTTGGCCCACAATTAACACCACCTTGACCCTAATTGGGGTGGGAGGAATGCAGCGCCCTAGGCAGAGTGCTCACCTCTGGCTTTTTCTTGGCCCTGATGAGCAAACTGCCCAGATTGCACCACACCATGTACACTGTGGGGAAAGGATGTTTTAGGACAATTTGGAACCACCGTACAAATAGATTCAGCTTCACCAAAAGATCTTTTTCATAGGGGTCATTGATCAGCTGTTCCAAAATCAAATATGTAAGCTCACATGGAGGGCAGAGGACCCTGTGTGGGTTGACCAATGGCTCCTAGGAAAGGAATGGCTGCAAAATCTACAACAGCTCGCACAGGAACAATAGTCCATGGGCCATATTCGCCCATCTTCTAGTCCTTGGAACACGCCTTTCTGTACACCTAAGAAAAATGGCAAGTAGAGGTTGTTGCATGATTAAAGCTCATCCCAGACCTCTGGTAATGGTAGCAGGGCAATGGAAATTTACTGACAGATTTACTGACACGGTGCAGGGGTCATGCTTGTGTCTCCACAAATCACCATGTGAAATGGGTTCCTTCATGGTGTGTGCAGGTGTTTGTTGCACCATCCTGGATGGCGAAGGCACTGCGAATATCATGTACAGAATGTCCATGTCACAGTGTGAATCACCTGATGCCAGATCAGGTTGCAGCTCTGGCTGTAACCCTTCCCACATTCCAAGCACTTGTGGGGCTTCTCCCAGCCATGAGGCCTCTCCACCAGCTCTGAGCTCGGGATGGATCTCTGGCTGCCTTCCTGGCACAGGGGGTGGTCTTTCCTCCTTGCAGCTTCCTGGGCTGAGTTTGTGTGGGAAATGGAAAGATAGAAACTTCCACGGATACTGAAGGGTTTGATTTATAGCCTTGGAAAGCGCTTGGGTTAATGTAATGATAAAGGTACACAGGCATTACGTAGAGAAATCATAAACTTATGCTCCTATAATTGCAATTAAGAATATGTCTTAAGTAAGTAAGAAACTGTATTGAGTAAGATGGTGGATGGTTTAAAACTGTAATAGTGTGATTCTATAGAGTAAGCTAGGAATCTAGAGGTTATAATAAGACATATGTGTGTGTGAGGTAACAGTCTATTGGGTAAAAAGTACGTGCAGTGTGGCTGAATTTAACAAAGGTGATAGGTGAGAAAGTAAAAATAAACTCCATGTCAACTGTCCATTGGACCAAAATGTTATATATTACTGTGTAACAAAGAAACTACCTTTGAGCTATGGCTGACTTGCTACTCCTAAATCTTATGCTTTCAGACTCAGACCTTACCTAATATATTTGAGCAGTAAATCGAAATAATAGCATTGGTAGTCCCTTCCGTCGTTACTAATTTCAACAGGTTTGCAGCCCCTCCTCCTGCAGGATCTTGGGGGCTTCCCCTCTTCCCACTGGATTCCTGCACCCTGGAGTCGCTCCAAATGGCCTCTTCTACAAGGTTCTTTCTCTTCCTGGAAGCCTCCCCCACCTTCCAGCCAAAGCTTGGGATTGACAAATCCTGGTTTGAAGAGAAAACAAAGATGATCATATTGGGTTGGAGGTTCCTTCTGCCCAGCTCCATCTCCAGAAGTCATCAGGTATCATGTATCCACGAAAACCTCCAAGATATTAAGATCCAGCAAAAAAAACCCTCAAATACCAAGACACAGCCCCAGAAGACCCCAAAACTTTGATACTCATCCAAAATATTAAGATTCAGCCTTCTGTAAAAATCAAAACACCAAAATGTAGCTCAATGAACTTCAGATATAATAAGATTCACCTCTCACCCCCCCAAAAAAATTTAAGATTCAGCCCAATAAATTCACATTCAAGCCAAAAGCTCCAAGATTCAGGATATAAAACCACCTCCTAGGAGTTCTGCTTCTTTGTTTTTTCTATTTTGGACTCTGGGTCGTTCCTCTGGGCTTCTGGGGGTCTTGCATCTTTTAGGGTCCTCCCTATCCAGGGTTCCTGCCTTCTCTGGGCTACTGGGGTTCCTGGGAATCTCAGGGATCCCCCCTTTCCTGACCTCCCAATTCTGTGTCCAAGGGGTTCCTGGTTCCCCCACTCTCCTTCCTCCCCCTCCCTTCAGGCTCTTGGGGGTTCCCCAGCTCTGGGATCGCCCCTTTCTGCTCTCCCCACTCTGTGGCTCCTGCGCTTCCCACGAACCCAGCTCTCCTGGAGGTCTCCAAAACCAGTGTCCCCCTCAGCCCCGCTGGCACCAGGTGATTGCCATGTGGATCCCGAGCCTGACCCAGGGAGACCAAACCACAGGTGGGGGGAGACCCCACAACCCCTGCCCACAGCTGGGGCTCTGCCAGGAGCTGCCAGCAGGAACCCCCCAAAAACCCTCACAGGGACCACCCAAGATATTTGGGGCAAGCTCCCCCTCCCTGGTCACCTTCAGTTGTGCTCACCCTGGGTGGGGGTTTCCAATCCATTGGTCGGGCGATCTCAGAGAGGGGAATGCAGAGATGGATGAGGATCCCCAGGGATTTTGGGGGCAGGATGAGGGGTTGTGTGAGCTTTGCTGGAGGGGGCAGGGGGCAGGGTCTGGCTGGAGACCCCTGGGTGCTCCTGGTGCCCCCAGCTGGAGAGTTGCCAAAGGCTCAAAATGGCTTGATCCCACCTCAAAATCCTCAATCACACCCCAAAATACACGATCCCACAGAAGCCCCAAAACCCCCAGGAGGGGTAGGATGGGGATTGGGACTGATGGGATGTGGAACAGATTCTGCTTCCCAGAACAGAGGAGGATAAAGAGCTATAGACAGAATTGAGGGGGTTTCCCCCACTGACATTCTCCAGCCATTGGCATTCCCAGCTGCCAGGTCCCTTGAGGGAATCCAGCCCCTTCTCACCATCCACCGTGTTTAACCCTTTCCTTCCCACTCCCTCCATTGTCTCCTTCTCTGGAGAATGACTCAGATCCACTGACTCCTTGCTCTCCCCTCTGCACATGTAGACACTTCTCCATTGACTAAATATTGTCACTCCTCATCTACTCTGTGAGCCTGCATCAGGAACAGTGTGGCCAGCAGAATCAGGGCAGTAACTCTTCTTCTGAGTATCAGTGTACTCAGCACTGGTGAGGCCACACCTGGAGTGCTGTCCAGTCCTGGGTCCCAATTTAGAAAGGATCTTGAGATGCTTGAACCTGTCCAGAGAAAAGCAGCAAGGCTTGTAAAGGGTCTGGAGCACAAATCCTGTGAGAAGCAGCTGAGGGAGCTGGGGGTGTTTATCCCGTAGGAGCCTCAGGGGAGACCTCATCACTCTTTACAAGTCCCTGACAGGAGGGGGCAGCCAGGTGGGACTGGGCTCTGCTCCCAGGGAACAGCCACAGGACAAGAGGACGCAGCCTGCAACTGCACAGAGGAGGTTTAGGCTGGACATTAGGAAGAAGTTCTTCCCAGAAAGGGCGATTGGGAATTGCAATGGGTTGCCCGGGGAGGTGGTGGAGTCACTGTCCCTGGAACTGTTTAAGACTGGATGTGGCACCTAGTGCCATGGTCAGGGTGACAGGGCAGTGTTGGGTCATAGGTTGGACTTGATGATCTCAAAGGTCTTTTCCAGCCTGGTTAATTCTGTGATTCTGTGATCCTGGCCTGTGTGGCCCCAATTCTGGGGAAAACTCCCCTCCAATTCTTACAAACACCCCCAAATCCTCCCAAGCCTTAAATCTTCTCCCTCAAATGACAGTAAAATCATTGGTTTCAGAGGTTTTTGTTCAATGTCTTTATTTTTATGACAATTTCAGATGTTTGTAAGGGATAGAAATGGATCCAAAAAAATCAAGCTTAGAAACCAAAGAAGTTACTTGTCAGCATCATGAGAACATTCATGGGGTTGGGTTCAGTGCATGGAAGAGCCTTTGTTGGAGGGGTTCCCACCCCAAATCTTGGCCTTTGTCCCAATCCATCACTATTTACCTGTGGAACACACCCGTGGGCCATCGAGAATCAGAATCTTGGAATCACTGAGGTTGGAAAATGTTGGGGAGGGTGAAACAGGGAAACCTTATGAATGTGATTGTTTGGCAGAAGATTCTGAAAATATGAAGGCTAGAATCAAAGTAGAAATGAAAGCCTGCTTTGAGTCCTAGGATACTGAGTACTGGTTAACCAAAGAACAATAGCCTAGCCAGCTAAAGGAGAATCCCTGTTGATAAAACAATGTCCTTCTGCTGATAGAAAGTTCAAAGGTCAAGAAGCAAGGAAAGAACTTGTAAAGCTTGTAGAGCCTAAAATGCAACACTGTATGTTAATATAGGGAAGCGCATAGGCTGGATGTAAATTCTTTAGTGGGTGTGTCTCATGGTGATTGGTTACTGAGAATTAGAATATTCACTATAGAAAAAGATATATTGGATTGTAACAAGAACTTCACTCTTAGCTTTTCGCTCTTAAACCTCTCTCTCTTAACCTCTCTCTTAGCTTTTCTCTCTTACCTCTTAACCTCTCTCTCTTACCTCTTAGCTTTTCTCTCTTAACCTCTCTCATACCTCTTGGCTCTTCTCTCTTACTCCTTTACCCCTCTCTCAGCTCCCCTCTCCCCCTCTCTTACCTCTTCCACTCTTTCCCTCTCTTATTCTTACCCTTACCCTCTTGGTTTTTCCCCTCTTACCCCTCTCTTGTCTTCCCCCTCTCTCATAAGCCTCCCTGGTTTCCCCCGCTCTCCCTCTGTTGCTCTTACACCCTCCTTCCCCTTTTCCAACCTCTCCTCCCCTGCTCTGCCCGCTCTCACCCTCCTCCCCCGGACCACGTGGATGCCGAGGCTGGTGGCAGACACGGGTCTCCCCTCTCTTCACCCATATAATAAATTGCTTATACCTGAACAGTTTGACCCTGGAGAAGTCTCCCACCACAAGCATTTTTTACACAGCAATAGGAAAAAACCTCCAAGACCATCCAACATTGCTTGATGCCAAAGGAAGAATGCATTGGATGGAAGAGCTGAGACTCTTAGGGTTGTAAGTCAACAAATCCACTCCTCCCAATGAATTCCTGATGTCATACGCACTCTCAATGGAGGTTTCTGCCTCTGCCTTCATCCAGGTACCTACTGAGGAACCAGGAGGATGTAGAGATCACCAGCCAGGTGTCTTTTCAAGGGGAATCACCTGGAACGGGGCTCATCAGGTGTCTGCCCAACCGAAGTCACTGGGGATCATCCAATGCAGATCCTCCCATGGGAGATGGAGTTGGAGCAGTGCACAAAGCTCCTCCTTCACTCAGGACATTCACAGGGCTTCCCTTACAGGTAGGTCCATTTGTGTGAAGTTAAGGCAAAGCTCTGATGGAAGCTCTTCTTATACTCGGGACACTCATAGAGCCTCTCCCCAGTATGGACGTGCCAGTGGACGATGAGGGTGGAGTTACGTTTGAAACCCTTCCTGTAGTCAGGGCAGAGGAAGGGCCTCTCCTCCGTGTGTGTTTTCTGATGCATGAGGAGATCTGACCTGGTCCAAAACCCCTTCCCACACTCAGGACACTCGTAGGGCTGTTCCTCACTGTGGGTCTTCTGGTGGTCGATGAGGCTGGATGTATGGCAGAAGCTCTTGCCACACCTGAAGCACTTGTAGGGCCGTTCCCGAGTGGATCTTCTGGTGCTGGACTAGGACAGAACTCAGGCTGAAGCTCTTCCCACATTCCCCACACTTGCAGGACTGTTCCCTGTGTGTGGTTGATGGCGGATGAAGAGGTGGGAGGTGTGGCTGAAGCTCTTCCCACATTCCAAGCACCTGTAGGGCTTCTCCCCGGTGTGAAGCTGCTCATGGACCACCAGGCTGGATCTCTGGTTGAAGCACAGGGGAGGTCTTTTCTCCTCAGAGCACTCTGGGATGGGTTTGGATCCCTTTGGCATTTCCTCCCCATTTGATTCCTGCCCCTTGGAGCTGCTCAAAACGGCCTCTTCCACAAGGTTCTGCTGCGGGGATTTGTCCTCCTTTATCTCCATCTGCAGCTCAGCACCTGGAGGAGGAAGGACAAGGGAAGGGACAAGAAAAGGAAGGAGCAAGGAAGGAAGAAGGAAAGAACATGGAGAGGAAGGACGGCAGAGATTTAAGAAGGAGAGGAAGGGACAAGAAGTAAAAAGAGAGAAAGAAGATGAAGGAACAAGAAGAACAAGAAACAAGAAGAGGCAGGAAGGAAGAAGGAAAAGAAGGAAAAGAAGGAAAAGAAGGAAAAGAAGGAAAAGAAGGAAAAGAAGGAAAAGAAGGAAAAGAAGGAAAAGAAGGAAAAGAAGGAAAAGAAGGAAAAGAAGGAAAAGAAGGA